CATCTATAATCAAGGGTCCAGTTGATGAGGTTGTAGCCATTTATGCTTGCTCCCTGTATCATACTTCTGTATCTTCATCTGGTCGAATTCTGGTCAGCAAGTCATCTGTGCTAGGTCTGATGGGTACTGTCTGCAAGTACGGGAGTTCTCGCATGCCTCCCCCTTCTTCAGATCCAGTGGCTGCTTCATTCTTGACTTTAGCCCTCAGTGGAAAGGTCAGTGTCTTTGAGCTTGAGCATTCACACATCACCCTGAATTTCAACCCTGTCAGCCCATTCTTTTCTCTCATTCCAAGGTCATTAGACATTCATGGAATATGGCAAATATCAGCCCGGCCTCTTTGCTGCAATTCCCCCTCTTCCATTCATAAATCAACCAGGACAGTTGCCATTGAGTATACAGGACAGTTGGTGTATTCCCTTTGAGGTTCAGTCTTAGACAGGAGTTTACTCTGATGGGTTGGCTTTTCTTGCCTTGATGGCTTCAGGGCAAACAGCTTGCTTGATAATGTCACAGCCAAACAGTCTGCTTTTTGCTTTTTTCACCCCCTCTTCTCCTTTCACGGCCCCTCCCCTCCCCCTTGGTCTTTCAAGAAGTATTTCTTTCTGTTACTTTAGCCATTCTGGGTTAGTCTGTTTGTCTTTTCAATTGGGAATGTCCCACCCCTGAATGTTCTGAGTGGGGCTCAGGATTCCACCTAAGGCCCCATACTCCATCACAGCTTAACAAGAAGTCTGTTTTCCTGGGCACAATCTAGACCCCTTTTAGATAATCCAATCCATTATAGGCTGTAATCATCTTCCCCAGTAGACCTTTCTATCATCCACTTAGATGTCTACATTACACAAGCGGAACCCAATATCCACTAAACAGTCAAGCACCTTAACATTATTTCCTATCCTTTGCTCCTTCCACCTATGTCTTGATCCCTATATCATTGTTGTTTTTGTTAAATGCCGTGGAGTTGATTTCCAACCCATGTTATTTTTAAGTGCCATCTAGTCGATTCCGACCCATAGTGACCCTGTATAGGGTTTCCAAGGAGGAGCTGGTAAGCTTGAACCACCAACCTTGCAGTTCAAATAACTTTGCAGTCTGACGCATTAGCCCACAGTGCCACACCAGGACTCCTATATTATGTTCTTGTTGTTGTTATGTGCTGTGGAGTTGGTTCTGACTCATAGCAACCCTGTACAGGGTTTCCGAGGCTGTAAATCTTTATGGGTGCAGAAAGCCTCATCTTTCTCCAGGGAACAGCTGGTAGTTTCGAACTGCTGACTCTGAGGTAAACAGCCCAATTCGTAACCACTACATTGTTACTCCAAGGCTGTGCAAACGTCACGATCTACCCCCATTCCAATTAGCTCATGTCTACCTCTCAGAGTCTTTCCCTACCTTCCCCACATCTCTACCTTCCTCCCCCTTCTTGTGCATTGCCCTCCCTCTCCTATTTATTGCCCTCCCTGTCCCCCAAGTTAACATATATCCCCTAACCTGTGAGTTATTTTCCCCTCCCTCCTGCCCCTGGTAACCCTCAAAGGATTATTCTCTTAATATAGAAATCTTTTCTTAAGTTTTTACAATTATGGACTAATGCAGTATCTGTCCTTTTGTGCCTAATTTCACTCAGCACTGTGTCCTCAAGTATTATCAATATTGTGTGGTGTTTTACGGCTTGCTCTGTAAACTTTTACTCAACTCTCTCTCACACACACACACACACACACAAAGCAAGACATGGCATATTATGAGGAGGGCCCAGTCCCTGGAGAAGGATGTCATGTTTCCTAGAAGGTTCAGTGAAAAATAGGAAGATTGCTTTCCTCCCACAAACAACTATATGGGTTGACAGCCTCTGCAACAATGGACTCAAAACTAGCAACAATTGTGAGGATGGTACACAACTGAAAGTGTTTTGTTCTGTAGTAATATACAGTCGCTCCGAGTCAGAACCAATTTAATGGCACCTAACAACAGAAACAACACCTTATGAAGAGGCTACCTTCTCATCACATCCTTTGCAGAATTGGGTATTATTTAAAAAAAAAAAAATCCCACTTGACCTGGCTTCAAAGACTGGATGATCAGAGCTCAACTAGGAGAAGAAAGAAGAGTTTTAAAAAAAAGAGTAATATGATACAATTTGATGAACTTGACCTACACCTATGGATGCAGTAGTTCAAAAGAGGGAACAAATTCTTTACAGCAAGGATCATTCCCACCCCGTCCATACACAGAGAAGACAGAGATAGGCAACTTGGACACTGGCTACCAAAAATGGGGGGCTATAAAGGCAAGAAGTCACTGGCTTACAAGCTTTCAAGAGGGAGCCTAGATCCAGAGGGCATGGAGGAAGGTAAAATCTCCAATTAATATCAAATCTGTCTGGGAGGGGTTAATGAAAGAAGATGGGGATAAGTCCCTTGTGGTAAAATGATGAATATTATCAAGACTGACTGTGACGGTTGGAAATGTAAAGGTGTACATTTTGTAGCAAAAGGAGGGGAGTGATTGACTTTGCAGTCCAGAAGAAGAGGTCCCTGGAACCATCAAGGGAGAAGAACAGAGTACGGGACCCTACCCAGAGAAGCAGTGACGTCAGAGATGGAGGCAGAAACGATGATGTGGAGAGATAGAGTGGCTGGGGACTCTAGACCCAGAGAGGGTGAGGGGATGTGTGCTGATGACCCGGGGGTCAGGGGAGGGTGAGACTTGCAGGGTATATCCTTGGTTGTTTGATAATGCATGGAGGGGATCGTAACCATGGCAATGAAACGATATACGATAGGATGAATGTAAAGTTAATGTTCTCCCATGTAAACTATCACATAATTCATAATAAACATTAAAAAAAAAAGATATATGGAGGAAAAAAAATCATTGTACTTTGATCAGCAAATATGATTTATGTAGCTCATCTTTGCTGGCTAGTGAAGTTGTAGATATTTTTGTGTTGTTGTTGTTGTTAGGTGCCATCAAGTCGGTGCTGACTCATAGCGACCTTATGCACAGCAGAACAGAACACTGCCAGATCATTGGCCAACCTCACACTTGAGCCCATCGATGATGCCACTTGGCCAATCCACCTTGCTGGGGGTCTTCCTCTTTTTCTCTGACTCTCTACCTTACCAAACATGATATCCTTCTACAGTGACTGGTCCCTCCTGACAATATGTCCGAAGTATGAGAAATGAAGTTCAGCCATCTTGGCCTCCAAGGAGCACTCTGGCGGCATTTCTTCCAACACAGATCTGTTGGTACTATGGGCAGGCCATGGCACTTTTAATATTCTCCTCCAACACCATAACTCAAAAGCATTAATTCTTCTACAGTCTTCCTTATTTACTGTCCAACTTTCACATGCGTATGAGGTTATTGAAAATACCATGGCTTGGGTCAGGCTCACCTTAGTCCTCAAACTGACATCTTTGCTCTTCGACACTTTAAAAAAGTCTTGTGCAGCAGATTTGCCTAATGCAATATGTCATCTGATTTCTTGACTGCTGCTTCCATGAGTGTTGATATTTGATCCAAGAAGAATGAAGTCCTTGACAACTTTAATCTTTTCTCCATTGATAAGAATGTTGTATATTGGTCCAGTAGTTTTTTTTTTTCTTGACATTGAGATGTAATCCATACCAAAGGCTGTGATCTTTGATCTTCATCAGTAAATGTTTTAAGTCCTCTTCACTTTCAGCAAGCAAGGTTGTATCATCTGCATATCGCAGGTTGTTAATGAGTCTTCCTCCAATCCTGATGCCACATTTTTCTTCATATAACCCAGCTTCTCAGATTATTTGCTCAGCATACAGGTTGAATAAGTATGGTAAAAGAATACAACCTTGTCGCACACCTTTTTCAATTTTAAACCATCCAGTCTTCCCATGTTCTGTTCGAACAACTGCCTCTTGGTCCAGGTACAGATTCCTCATGAGCACAATTAAGTGTTCCAGAATACTCATACTTCGCAATGTTGTCCATAGCTTGTCATGATCCACACAATCAAAAGCCTTTGCATAGTCAATAAAGCACAGGTAAACATCTTTCTGATATTCTCTGCTTTCAGCCAAGATCCATCGGACATCAGCAATGATAACCCTCATTACACCGCCTCTTCTGAATCCGGCTTGAACCTCTGGAAGTTCTCTGTCAATGTATGATTGTAGCCGTTTCTGTATTACCTTTAGCAAAACTTTACTTGCATGGGATATCAAAGAGATTGTCTGATGATTTCCGCATTTCCTTGGGTCACCTCTTTTTGGAATGGGCACAAATACGGATCTCTTCCAATCAGTGTTGTTGTTGTTATTGTTATGTGCCGTGGAGTCGGTTCTGACCCATAGCGACCCTGTACAGGGTTTCCAAGGCTGTAAATCTTTACGGGAGCAGAAAGCCTCATCTTTCTCCGGGGAACAGCTGGTAGTTTCGAACTGCTGATTCTGACGTTAACAGCCCAATTGTTAGGCACGTGTAAACTGAGGATCACGGTTGGGCTACTGAGTTCCGAGTCCTCACTCCTCCATCTTCCAGAGTGGAACTGCATGAACGACTGTTCCTTTACAAGAAGCATTGAACTGCTGAGCTCACTGTTTCCCGGGGATGATAGGTTTTCTGAGCTCCTGCTCAAAGGCTAACTGACCACCTACCTCTGCTCAGGGTCCCTTGCCAATTCCAACCGTTGCTCCTCAAGGGGAGAAGCCAAGGGAACGAAAGATGGGATGGTAGAAGGCTTCCCTCAATTTCGACGTGAAAGTTTTCCTCGGCTTGGGAGGAAAGGGACCAGAACTGGCTTGTGTTCGAACACCAGATTATGCACCGAGGCACACCAGACCTTACAACCACTACCTACCTAGCAGCTGGGAGCAGGGTCTGAGGCCTGGAAATGTCCAACCGACCTCCCCATGGAGCCGAGGGCTAAAGTAGGCTGGCGCTAACGGGAGGGGCGGTGTCGAGCAACGCGGAGTGATGACGTCACGGCGGCGGCAAGCTCGAAGGCCGTAATGGCGCCGCAACGGACGCGCGTTCTACGGTGCTGCAGCTGTCGTCTCTTCCAGGCGCACCAGGTGGGTCGGGTGCCGGTCTCCTGTCTCCAAGCGTGAGGAAGACCAAAGGGAACACGGGTCTCCTTCCCGCGTCTCGTCCAGGCCCTGCCGCCAGTGTGGGTGCTTTCTCGTGCGGCTGTGAAACATCTTTGAGTTCCAGGGACTGGGCTCTATTTCTGTGGCTTCCCTTCGAGATTGTTTGCGTTTAGACATGTAGAAGTCAGGGGGTAGTGGTTTTTGCGGAGGCGGTCTCCTGTAAGATTTAGCAGGTAGTTAGGAAACCAGGTTGAGGACAGCCTCCTTGTGTGGTCTCCAGAGTCGTTGTTTTTAAGTACCATCAAGTTGGTTCTGACTCATTGCGACCCTGTGTAGGGTTTTTGAGGAGCAGCTAGTGAGCTTGAATGGCTGACCTTGCGGTTCAAACGACTTTGCAGTCCAACGCATTAACCCACAGCACCACACCAGGACTCCAAAGTAGCTCATCTCTATTTAAATACTAGGGGTAAGATAGTTTTTTTAAAAAAATAAAGAAGAAATTGGACATGCCATTGGAACATCACTCGGTATTGGGCACCGCCCGCTGGTACTCATGGACTGTTCACATGGGAGGGACAGGACCCCGCTCCCCAAATGAGAAAGGAACAGAGAGGCCTTGAATATTTTAAAGAAAATCCATCACTACCATCGGTTGTAAACTGCCAATTCTTAATCAGTTCAACTCCATGTGTTATCAGTGTAGAACTGCTCTGAATTTTCAGTTATTAAGTTGTAGACATAGATAGCCAGACCTTTCTTCCAAGGTATATGTGGTAGACTTGAATCACCAACCTATTAGCAGTCAGTTGTGTTAGAAAGAGCTTTGTAAATCTAAGTCTCTTGATATGATTGAAACTTCTGGTTAAGGTCTAGGCCAAATTCCTTTTGTCCTAAGTATCCATTTTGTACTTTTCTGTCTTACAGTACACCTTGTTACATCTATAAAAAAATTCCACTGTACCTTTAACCTAAATATAAGCAGTTCTACAGTGCAGTGTCCTGGTGTGGCACAGTAGGATAAGCAGTCAATTACAGGGTGGGTTTGAAGCACAAGGTCGATGGTTCAAATTCACCAGCTGCTCCTCAGAAACCCTATCAGGGTTGCTATGAGTCAGAACTGACTCAACGGCACTTAAAAACCATGAAACAGTGCAGTGTGGACTTTTGGTGTGGCACTGTAGGATCAGCACTAGACTGTGAACCACAAGATCAACAGTTCAAACCCACCACCCACTCCTCAGAAACCCTATACAGGGTCGCTCTGAGTCGGAACTGACTCAACAACACTTAACAACAACACAGTGCAGTGTGGTGCTATAGGATAAGCACTGGACTGCTAACTGCAGGGTCAACAGTTCAAATCCACCAGCCACTCAGAAACCCTATTCAGGATCCCTATGTGTTGGAACTGACTTGATGTCACACATACCTCCCCATGAGCTTCCTGTACCAGTCCATACAGAGTCCTTAGTAATGTTTATTATTAACTTTAATCACAGGATAATATGTGATAAATATAGTTGCAAATTGCTTACATGTAACATTTCTTAGATTATATGAATACTAGAGTCCTGGTGTGTACGGAGCTCTGGTAGCATAGTGGTTACGAATCGGGCTGCAAACCACAAGGTCAGCAGTTTGAAACTACCAGGTGTTCTGCGGGAAAAAGATGAGGCTTTCTGCTACCGCAAAGATATAGCCTCGGAAACCCTGTACAGGGTCGCTATGAGTTGGAACCGACTCCATGGCACATCACCACCACCACCAGAGTCCTGGTGTAGTGCTGTTAAGATAACACTGAGTTGCTAGTTGCAAGGTCAGCAGTTCAAACCCACCAGCTACTCCTTGGAAATCCTGTACAAAGTTGCTGTGAGTAGGGACCAACTCAACAGCACTTAACAACAAAACAGTGAACGTTGTTGTTAAGTGCTGTTGAGTCAATTCTGATCCATAGCAATCCTGTATAGGGTTTCCGAGGAGCATCTGTGAGTTTGAATTGCTGACCTTGCAGTTTAAACGGCTTTGCAGTCTGGGACATTAACTCATAGTGCCATACCAGGACTTTAAAACATTGAATACTAGCAACAAAATGGTTTTGTAAAATCTTTGTATATTGACTTACATTTTTAGTTATATTATTATAACTAAATGGAAGCCTTTTAAAATTTTGCTCCTTTTCCATTAATTACTTTATTCTCAAAAAATTATCAGTATGCAAGAATAAGTAAAAAGTATTGCTACAAAATCATAGACATCTTTATTAAACAAAAATAGCAAAATGTGAAGCTATTATTTCTCAACATATCCTCCATCTAGATCTATATGCTTATGAAGACTATGTTTCCATCTTTCTAACCCTTCCCCAAAGAATTCTGTGCCCTGATTTAGACTACATCAAAATTACAGTTTGGGGCATCCTCGAGGGAATCAAATTATATTCCTTTTAAATGCTCTTTAAGTTTTGGGGGAAAGTCTGAAGGAGTAAGATCAGGGCTGTAGGGTGGATGGGGTAAGATTTCCCAATAAAATTCTCATAAGACATAGAACCCTTGAAAAATGAAAAGGTGAATTATCTTGATGAAAAAAACTTCCTCAGCGCAATATTCCTAGCCTTTATCTCACTAATGCAGTTTAAAATTTTCATTAAAAATTTTCATAAGTCCTTGTGATTTTCCTGAGTCAAGATCACCCCTTGGAAATCCGAAAAAAAACCCAAACAGTTGCCATGACCTTCTGAGCTGTCCTTTTCTGCTTTGAATTTAACTTGCCCTCAGAGCCATTTAATATCATCAGCCAAAACAAAGCCAAGGCCAGACTATGGAAGTCATACCATCAATTGCTCATAATGCAAGCTCAGGCTGAAACCAAAGAAAACTAAAACAAGTCCATAAGAGCCAAAATATGACCGGAATTGAGAGGACATCTCAAGATTTGATGTATTAGATACTATTGACTGAAGACCAGAAGAGTTAATGGGATGACAAGAAGAAGAAAGCAAAAGATAATTTAAAAGACAGGAAAGAAAGAAAAGAAATGATCGAAGTAGATGTCAGAAAGGACTCTGAAACTTGCCCTCCAAGGTACAGATGCTAAAGTGAATGGAAGAAATGAGGTAAAAGAACTGAACAGAACATTTCAAAGGGAAGCTTGAGAAGACAAGTATTATAATGAAATGTGCAAAGACTTGGAGTTGGAAAACCAAAAGGGAAAAATATACTTAGCATTTCTCAAGTTCAGAGAACTGAAAAACAATTCAAGCCTTAACTGTTAGTATTGATTCTGTGAGTAAAAATAAATATTGAATGATGCTGAAAGCATCAAAAGGAGATGAAAGGAATACATAGAATCACTGTACCGAAAAGAAATTGTCAGTGTTCAACTATTTCAAGAGGTAGTATATGAGCAAGAGCCAATTGTATGGACGGAAGAAGTCCAAGGTACACCAAAGATACTAGCAAAGAACAAGGCTCCCAGAATTGATGGAATGTAAGTTGAAATCTTTCAGCACACTGATACAGCACTGGAGGCACTCTCTCATCTATGCCAAGAAATTTGGAAAACAGCTACCTGGCCAGTTGATAGGAAGAGATTCATATCTGTGCCCATTACAAAGAGAGGTGACCTAGTACAATACGGAAATCATCATTCAATATCATTAATATCACATGCAAGTAAAATTTTGCTAAAGATAATTTTAAAATGACTGCAAAAGTACATTGACAGGGAATTGCCAGAAATTCAAGCTGGATACAGAAGAGGACATGCAACTAGGGATATCACTGCTGACGTTAGATGAATCTTGGCTGAAAGCAGAGAATACCAGAAAGATGTTTACCTGTGCTTAATTGATGATGCAAAAGCTTTCAACTATATGAATCATGAGAAGCTATGGGTAACGCTGCAAAGAATGGGTATTTCAAAATACTTAACTGTGCTCATGAGGAACCTGTACATAGACCAAGAGGCAGCCATTCAAACA